AAATATTTTGATCTTCGATTATTTGCAGCCTCCATTTCCCAGTTAACCCTTCTGGCAGCCACACTTTCCTTGCAGATCCAAATAAGCCCACCAAAACTATCTGTGATTTTCTTCGCAAGGTATCCATCGAGATTTTTTTCTGGCTGTGCAGTTTGTGCAGAGACCTAGTTTTATAACCAAGTGAATATTCTCACCCTTTCCTGTTTTAGTTCTATTCTGCCTTTCAACCAAATGGTGCTCAAGGCAGCTAAGAAAAGGAACACAGACATTATAAAATGAAATAAATCATAATAAGCAGTAATATTTTTGGGGAAATATAATAAAGTTCCAATACAATTTATATTTATGTATTTAATATTTTAAAAGTTAGCTAAATAAAACCTACACACACACACACACACACACACAAACAGCAAGGGGCTAAAGTCCAACTAGTACCAAACTTTGGGAAAGTAACTTTTTTGGACTCTGAAAGCTGGGGCATTTGAGAGCTGCATAAAACTTAAGTTTCCTAAGGAACTGGTATGTTCAGAGAGGTTTACTTAGCAGGCATGCTGCAGTCCTTTCCTTCCTGCTTAAGAACCTATAATTTCCCCAGTTATTTTAATTTTAAAATGCTTGTAGAGTCTCGCTTATCCAACCTTCACTCATCCAACATTCTGTATTATCCAATGCAGTCTGCCTCCCACCCGGATCTACAGCTGTTTTTCTAGGTAGCAACACACAGTGGGCCTCTCCGCGCACCCACTGGGAGGGGTGAGACGTGGCTAGCACAGACTTTTCCCATTGGGCACGGTGTCCGTCCTGCACTGGATGCATCTCGCCCTTTCCAGTGGGCGCAATTTGATTTTTAATAGGCTTTTCCTTAATCCCTCCTTACTATCTAGTATTTTCCCTTATCCAACATTCTGCTGGCCCGTTTATGTTGGATAAGTGAGACTCTACTGTAAATGCTATTTGGTTCATCTACATTCTGATTGTTTAACGTTTTCATTTTTACCAATTTAAATATTTCAGGTATTGAATGTTCTGGAAACTATGCCCTGTGAAGATCAGCTTAGGGATCTGAACATGTGTGGAAACAGGAAGGTTAAGAGGTTATATGAAAGCCATATTTAAATATTTGAAAGCATGTCATATTGGAGGTAGAACAGGCTTGTTTTCTGCTGCTCCAGAGACTATGACATGAAGCAATGGATTCAAACTGTAAGAAAAGAGACTATTTGGAAAAAGCTCTGGATGATATGAGCTGTTTAACAGTGAGACACACTGCATTGGAGTGTAGTAGAGTTCCTTCTCTGGAAGTTTTTTAACAGAGGCCGAATAGTCATTTGTCTGGGGAGCTTTGATTGCATGTTCCTGCATGGCGGGGAGGGGGGGGGGACTTAATAACACTTGCAGTCTCCTCCAACTCTATAATTCTATGATTCTATTAATGTCTTTGGTAAACATATGAAAAATGCCACCTCTTGCCTGGAATGCATGCTGTAAGACATAATAAAGTATTTTGCCTGGGAAAATATAATAATTTTTGGGGAAATATAATAAAGTACCAATACCATATATATTTATGTATTTAATATTTTAAAAGTTAGCTAAATAAAACCCATACACACACACACACACACACACATATAAACAGCAAAAGGTCAGCAAAAGAAATGGGTCTAGTCCAAGCATGGGCAAACTTCAGCCCTCCGGGTGTTCTGGGCTTCAACTCCCATCATTCCTAACAGCCTCAGGCCCCTTCCTTTTCCCCCTCAGCCACTTAAGATGACTTTTAGCAAGAACTTTGTTAAACTTAAAGTGATGTGCAATAGAGTCTGTGCCATACACATATATTCAAAGAGACTTGGCAATATCTGCCTCTTTTTATTTGGTGGTATGACGCATGGCATTATAATCCTGAGCAACCCTAGGCAGGTGAAATGTCAGACTTCTGCAAACAGGATGAGTTCAGTTCTCAGCATCTCCTACTGAGTTACATGGGATAAGGTGAATGCATTTAAACTGGTTAAGTTGTTGGAGGAAAGTAAACTGCTCTTCTGTGCATGGAAGGGTGTTGGTTCAGTCTCTGCTTCCAAGGGTGCACATCTCAATGGTTCCTACAATAAAAGACCACCCTATCTCAACAATTAGCATAAGTATGGTGGGAGTGTGGAGGGATGGGTGTGTTGTTTTGTGGCGTGTGCGGGGAAGGCATGTAATTTCATTTTGCAATAGCACAATGACATTTTGTGTGTGTGTGTTGGGAGTGACTTGAGAAACTGCAGGTTGCTTTTGGTGTGAGAGAATTGGCCACTGCCCAGGGGACGCCTGGATGTTTTGATATTTTACCATCCTTATGGGAGGCTTCTCTCACGTCCCCCCATGGGGAGCTGGAGCTGACAGAGAGAGCTCATTCGTGCTCTCCCGGGATTCGAATCTCTGACCCGTTGGTCTTCAGTCCTGCCAGCACAAGGGTTTAACCCACTGCACCACTGGGGGCTCCTACAATGAGAAAGCTATTCTATTCTATCAGCAGGGGATTGTGGGAGATGATTTCCAAAAGATGGAAGTTGTCCATGCTACAAGAGTAATTACACATGCTGTTCAATACCTTACTTTATTTTCCAACACCGGGAGCATGTTCTTAAAAAGGAAGTGAAAATCTCTTCATTCATTTTGGTTGTTCTTTTCCGAATCTGATATTCTTGTCTACTTGAATCTTTTTACTGACTTGAAAGATTGTCTTTTTTCCTCATATATAATTTTTTTTTTACCCCAAGCCTTTTCCTAATTGCCTAAACTATTTTGTGGGCATTTTTCAAATATACACATTTGCAGTTCTATTTTTTTTTCAAATTTACACTTTTTTTGTTAAAACTCATCACAAATCTTGAGAATTTTTTCAGTTGCCAGGAAAATATGATCCTGGTCTTGTTGCTAGTCTTAGGAAGGATTAAGTGGGTATTTTATAAAGTAATATGAACCCAATGAATTCATTTTCCATGCCTACCTTCTGTCATAATCAGCATTCTGTTGTCTTGGCTGTTGTACCTAAGGGGAGTATGTACAAGTAGTAGTACATACTTCCCTTAGAGGTGTGATTGACACCAATGTTGGTTTCTTTCTAGTGCCAAATAAAGACACAGTTCTGAGGACTTAATTTAATTTCAATGCTCATGCCAAAATTTGAATTGTTAGAGGCATTTAAGATGTACTAAATGGTCATGTTAAATATGTTTTCCCCTGTGTGCTGTTTGAATCTCGAATTGTTTTAAATAGTTTAATGTTTTAATTCTCTGTCACCCTGAAATCACATGTTAAAAGATGAATGAAAACAAGAACAAGCTTTAGTTCTGAAATTGATTGGGGTGTGATACACATGACATACCTATAGAAAGCTATAAGGTGCCACAAAATTTGATGGCACACTCTGACCATTATAGAATTTACTACCCATAGAAAGCCTACTAACAAAAGCCACATTTTAATGAAGGAACGTGTTTTCATCTTTGTAAAAATAAATCTTGTTTGTCTTCAACAATAACCCACTTCTCTGGTTGTTAGCAATGACTGAGAGTTGACACTAAGAGCATTTACTTGGGAGTGAATCCTATGGAAGAGACTGAGATTTAGTTTTAGGCACATACACATATGAATGCACTGAAGGAAGGAATTTCCTAAATCTGCTCATGAGCCCAGAAATTTTAACCCATACCTCTTGGGTCTCAAATGCAACTATATCCCACTACATAGTTGCATTGAGTTGAGTAGTTTAGTATGACACATCTCTTTCTTGAAAAAGTAAAGGACCTCAACCGTATCCATGAGTGATACATTCCTGGACTTTACATGGATAGGTAAAATCACAAATAGATGAAACTGCAGGCCTATTGAAATTAACAACTTCTAGCTCAATAACACTATAGAGTTATACTTGAGGACCTAGGTCAGGCATGGGCAAATTTGGGTCCTCCAGGTGTTTTGGACTTCAACTCCCACAATTCCTTACCGCCTACCGGCTGTTAGGAATTGTGAGAGCTGAAGTCCAAAACACCTGGAGGACCCAAGTTTGCCCATGCCTGACCTAGAAGATGCATATAAAGGACATATTTTGTTAGGCTTGGATAAATGAAACTGCAGGTACTGGTCCAGTGGATACAGGGGTCATACTGTGATGGTACCTGCATTTTGCCATCTGCTCTTTAAGAGAAAATGCCATTCTGACATGAATCAAATGAGACATTAAGCACAATGTCTGGCAGAACTGACAAATTCTACATTGAGTGCTTAAAATTAATTGTAACTGACTAATTTATCAAGCAAATCTCCTCTTACATATATTCCCAGAATAAATAAGCTTCAAGAGAGCTATTAGCAGAAGTCTTTATTATTCTGCCTCATCCTCCTTGGTGAAGGAAATAATTTAACACATGATCTTTTCTACGAACATACTTATTATTTTGTCTGCATCACAAGCTGCCTTTTGCTTAAAGCAAATCCCTCCCTGTCCTTAGACAGCAAGTCAATCACAGGCCCATGAATAGTAATTAGAATACAAAAGAGCATCTAACTGAGTGTGGCAGATGCTGGGTGTTTCTTTTTTCCCTTCTCCCCAGCAGGTGCTTTGAGAGGCAAACTTTCTCCCAAGCACCGACTCGAGTATCATGGATTAATTCAAAGTTCTGAATACAACTGGATCTGTTTCAAACACACCTTGCAGTCTCCTTCATACAGATATCTGTTTAGAAAGAATCCCATGAATAACAAAACTTTGAATATGAAATAAATTGGAACCCTTGAGAAAGATGCAACATTCTACACTCACCTTTCTCTCTAAAGGTTCAGACTCTGTTGATCTCATGTCAAGATATGAATAAGATTTCTTGGGGGGGGGGGGTCATGAAGGGTACCTTGGTTGGCAGGTAAACTTTCAAGACATGCAAGGATAGGGAAGGAAGAAATGGGAGGGACACACCATGAAATGCCATGAAGAATAAATATTTTGTCCATACCTATATTTCATGCCAGTCTGCTTAGCAGTGGACTCTTTTAAAGAAATATGGTGCTGAGGGGTAAAGGTTCCCAAACTGCGGGCAATTATTGCCACTGTCCGGAATTTCGCCCGGGCGGCATTGACAGCATTAGGGTTACTGGTGTTCTGTTTGCTGATGAGTCTGTCTTCCCCATTCCGGTTCTTGAGGTTATGCTCTGTGCATGCTATGGAGACCTGCATTTTCCCCTCACTAAGCTTTCCTTTACAGAACAGAGAACTTCTTTTGAATGAAGAAAAAGGACCACCGGGAGCTGAAGGTATCAATCCCTAGTCCAAGAATCTTCAATGGTATGCTCCAAACTCAAGTACCTGGATTGTGAAGCCAGTCGTTAAGTGAGCAAAGCTGCCTCTGATATGCCAGGAGTCAAACAAATCTCCAAAGTTGCCAAATCATTAATGAAAAGAATGGAAACCTGCTTAACAATTTTTTTGTTTCCTCTGCAAAGAATTTCCCCAGCGATTACAAAGAACCCTCCATGGGTTCAATTGCTTTCAAAAATATTGAGCTTGCATCTTCATGATTAACACAAAGCAGCAGTATCCACTCCGTCTCAATGCTGGCTTGCTTCTCGTTGCTGGATTTAAATCAATGCAGGCATACTGCAAGATGAATCTGGAGCACCCTCTGGACCATGAAATGCTGATGGTGCAAAGCTTGGGAGCCCAAGGAACATCTAATCACAGGCAAGTCTCAGAAGACCAAGTATATCCATCTAGCCCTTTGTCAGCTCTGGCACAGCACTACGCCTCATCGGGATGCCCCTCGCTTTCCCCCTGAAGGCTCGAAAGCCTGGTGGAAGGAGAATCTAAGACTCTGCTGCACTGAAGGTACCGGCGATGCAGCTGGAATGTGCAGAGCTCGCTTCAGGAAGCGTGTAGAAAGCGAGAGAGGTTGGCGTACATTCTTCCCTTTGTGTGCAGAATAAAGGCAGGCACTTTCATGAGAGTTGGGCTGGCTGAATCGCTGACAGCCCTGCTAAATGACTAGAAAGTGCCCCTCCACCTGACGAACAAATGGATGTGAAAGCATGCTAATGTCTTGCTGTGTTGTGGGAGGGGAAGAGCATTACTATTTGACTATGCGTGAGCGAATTAACTCATTAATCCCTTGTGTCTGGCACACTAAGACCCTGCCTGAAACCGAGATGTTGCCAGCAGTTGTGCCAGGGTTAATCTCTTCTCAGCACAAATACATGCCCAGTTTAGATACCCCAGGCGTGTCCTTTGATCTAAATTGCACAACTGGCAGAGAAAGCAGATTATCCTAAAGGATTGGGACAATTGGGGAGATGGGGTGGGATATAAATAAAAATCATCATCATCATCATCAGCCCATTAGCATGACACTTGGATGCATGGGAGTTTGCAGAGAAAGTGTGTTAAAATTCAGTATGTGTTGACACTTATTAGTGTTCATATACAATTCTGACCATGGTCAGGGTTAAGCTTCTGACACACCACTGCAAACGCTCCTGGCCCCTTCCCCCAGTGCACCCCACATGCCTGCTATGGTATGTGAAAAGCTCCATCTAGCACACGTCAGTACCTGGCCAAGGGCAGAGAACTCACTCATCCCAGAACAGGTGAATTGACACCAAATTGCTTTTTTGATACACCTGTGTAAAAAAATATCAATAAAATAAGATATTTCTCAGGGTGAACGGTGCATGCAACCAGTTCCTGGACAGGCTCAATATTCCAGAAACATGCAGGTCACCCTTTTCAACTGTTGTTGCCTTTACTTTTGGATAGAAATTCACCTAGAAGGACCATAATAATATGGTCAGTTCAGTAGCAATCAACATCTTTCAGAATATTTTTCAAAAATGTTGTGAGATTGTACACATTGTGTGTTGGTGAGAAATAAAGGGAAAGAAGAGAAGGAGGGAATGAGGAAAGAATGGTATATTTTTTTCTAACCTGAGGAATGGACTAAAGCAAAGTGTTACAAGGTTTTGGAGGCTGCTTTTGGCCCACTTCAGGTTCAAGTGTCACACATACAAAAATCTGTCTAGCTCAGTGGTTCTCAACCTGGGATCCCCAGATGTTTTTGGCCTACAACTCCCAGAAATCCCAGCCAGTTTACCAGATGTTAGGATTTCTGGGAGTTGAAGGCCAAAAACATCTGGGGACCCCAGGTTGAGAACCACTGGTCTAGCTGTTCCTTCATTTGTTCCTTCTATTCTACAACAGCAATGATGTATTTGCCAACAACACCTCTATCATATAGCCAGGAGCCATAGGTAATCCATTTCCAACTACTCCGTCATTCATGAATACTTCTAAGACAACATATTTCTTCTTCACTTAATAATAATGTGTTTATTTGACTGTTGTTGTTGTTCATTCGTTCAGTCGTCTCCGACTCTTCGTGACCTCATGGACCAGCCCACACCAGAGCTCCCTGTCGGCCGTCACCACCCCCAGCTCCTTCAAGGTCAGTCCAGTCACTTCAAGGATGCCATCCATCCATCTTGCCCTTGGTCGGCCCCTCTTCCTTTTGCCTTCCACTTTCCCCAGCATAATTGTCTTCTCTAGGCTTTTGCTCTCCTCATGATGTGGCCAAAGTACTTCAACTTTGTCTCTAGTATCCTTCCCTCCAGTGAGCAGTCGGGCTTTATTTCCTGGAGGATGGACTGGTTGGATCTTCTCGCAGTCCAAGGCACTCTCAGAACTTTCCTCCAACACCACAGCTCAAAAGCATCGATCTTCCTTCGCTCAGCCTTCCCTAAGGTCCAGCTCTCACATCCGTAGGTTACTACAGGGAATACCATGGCTTTGACTAGGCGGATCTTTGTTGCCATTCTGATGTCTCTACTCTTTACTATTTTATCGAGATTGGACATTGCTCTCCTCCCAAGAAGTAAGCGTCTTGGTTTACTGAGGAGCTGGCAGTGATGAAGCGAAGGAAGAGGGAATTGGAGAGCGTGTGGCATTCTGACCCAAGCGAGTCAAATCGAACACGGTTTGTGTCCTTTTTAAGGGCATACACCGCGGCAATAAAAGCCGCAAAGAAAACCTTCTTTGCAGCTTCTATTGCGTCTGCAAAGAACCGTCCGGCGGAGTTGTTTCGGATTGTCAGAGGTCTTTTAACTCCCGCCACTTCAGGCGGGAGCCCTGACAATTCGGTCACGCGCTGTGAAGCATTTGCTCGGTTCTTTGCAGACAAAGTCGCTTTGATCCGTTCTGACCTGGACACCATGTTAACGGCAGTCTCAGAGGATGTAACACGAGCACCTGCTTGTCCAGTTTTATTGGATTCATTTCAATTGGTGAAACCCGAGGATGTGGACAAGATACTTGGAGGAATGAGGCCTACCACATGCATCCTAGACCCCTGCCCATCCTGGCTTCTGAAGGAGGCCAGAGGGGGATTGGCTGAGTGGGTAACGGTGGTGGTTAATGCCTCCCTTCGGGAAGGCAAGATTCCAGCGTGCTTAAAACAAGCAATTATAAAACCGCTGTTGAAGAAACCATCACTGGACCCCACTAAATTTGACAACTTTCGGCCTGTTTCCAATCTCCCCTTTTTGGGCAAAGTCATGGAAAGCGTGGTGGCCTCACAACTCCAGGTATTCTTGAGAGACACGGATTATCTGGATTCGGCACAGTCTGGTTTCAGACCGGGACATGGTACCGAGACGGTCTTGGTCGCCTTAGTGGATGATCTGCGCCGGGAGCTAGACGGGGAGTGTGTCCCTGTTGGTGCTCCTGGACCTCTCAGCGGCCTTCGATACCGTCGACCACGGTATCCTTCTGGGGCGCCTTGCGGAAATGGGTCTTGGGGGCACTGCTCTGCAGTGGCTCCGGTCATTTCTGGAGGGTCGTACCCAGAAGGTGTTATTGGGGGACTCCTGTTCAACACCACAGCCTTTGACCTGTGGGGTTCCACAGGGTTCTATACTGTCCCCCATGCTGTTTAATATCTACATGAAGCCGCTGGGTGAGATCATCCGGAATTTCGGGGTGCGGTGTCATCTGTACGCAGATGATGTCCAACTCTGTCACTCCTTTCCACCTGCTACTAAGGAGGCTGTCGAGGTCCTGAACCGGTGCCTGGCCGCTGTAATGGTCTGGATGAGGGCGCACAAACTGAAATTAAATCCAGACAAGACAGAGGTACTCCTGGTCAGTCGCAAGGCCGAACAGGGTATAGGGTTACAGCCTGTGCTGGACGGGGTCGCACTCCCCTTGAAGGCGCAGGTTCGCAGCTTGGGTGTGACCCTGGATTCATCTTTGAGCCTGGATCCCCAGGTTTCAGGGGTGACCAGGGGAGCATTTGCACAGCTTCGGCTCGTGCGCCAGCTGCGCCCGTATCTTGGGAAGTCTGACTTGGCCACGGTGGTACACGCTCTGGTCACATCCCGCCTTGACTACTGCAACGCTCTCTACGTGGGGCTGCCCTTGAAGACGGCCCGGAAGCTTCAGCTAGTCCAGCGCGCGGCAGCCATGTTACTAACGGGAGCGGGACGCAGGGAGCACACAACGCCCTTGTTGTCCCAGCTCCACTGGCTGCCGATCTGCTACCGGGCCCAATTTAAGGTGCTGGTGTTATCCTACAAAGCCCTAAACGGTTCCGGCCCAAAATACCTTTCGGACCGCATCTCGGCCTATGAGCCCACGAGGGCCTTGAGATCATCTGGGGAGGCCCTTCTCTCGATCCCGCCTGCCTCACAGGCACGTCTGGCGGGGACGAGAGAGAGGGCCTTCTCAGTGGTGGCCCCCCGGCTGTGGAACGCCCTCCCTGTTAACATCAGACAGGCGCCCTCCCTGATGGCTTTTCGTAAGAGCCTAAAGACCTGGCTATTCGAGAAGGCATTTAATTGAGCCACACGAATCTGGTAATGACATTTGGAACGGACTATGGATTATGAGATTGGCTATGATTCTATGTTGTGATGGCGCGGATTTATTAGTGTGATTTAGATTAATGTGTAATTTGGTTGTGGATATATTGTATGTTTTGTAGACTGTTTTTACATGTTGTACACCGCCGCGAGTCGCCCCAGGGCTGAGAGCGGCGGTCAACAAATGAAGTAAATAAATAAATAAATTTACTGGCTACAGTCTGCATCTGCAGTAATCTTTGCACCTAGAAATACAAAGTCTGTCACGGCCTCCACGGTTTCTCCCTCTATTTTCCAGTTGTCAATCATTCTTGTTGCCATAATCTTGGTTTTTTGATGTTTAGCTGCAACCCAGCTTTTGCGCTTTCTTCTTTCACCTTGATTAGAAGGCTCCTCAGCTCCTCCTCGCTTTCGGCCATCAGAGTGGTGTCATCTGCATATCTGAGGTTGTTAATGCTTCTTCCAGCAATTTTCACCCCAGCTTTGCATTCATCAAGCCCCGCACATCGCATGATGTGTTCTGCATACAAGTTAAAAAGGTTGGGTGAGAGGATGCAGCCTTGCCGTACGCCTTTCCCAATCTTGAACCAGTCTGTTGTTCCGTAGTCAGTTCTTACTGTTGCTACTTGGTCCTTGTACAGACTCCTCAGGAGAGAGACAAGGTGGCTTGGGATGCCCATCCCACTAAGAACTTGCCACAATTTATTATGATCCACACAGTCAAAGGCTTTAGAATAGTCAGTGAAGCAGAAATAGATGTTTTTCTGAAACTCCCTGCCTTTCTCCATTATCCAGCGGATATTGGCAATCTGGTCTCTCGTTCCTCTAGCCTTTTCTAAACCCAGCTTGAACATCTGGCAACTCTCGCTCCATGTATTGCTGGAGTCTTCCTTGCAGGATCTTGAGCATTACCTTACTGGCATGAGAAATAAGGGCCACTGTACGGAAGATTGAGCAGTCTTTCGCATTTCCCTTTTTTGGTATGGGGATATAAGTTGATTTTTTCCAGTCTGATGGCCATTCTTATGTTTTCCATATTTGCTGGCATATGGCATGCATCACCTTGACAGCATCATCTTTCAAGATTTTAAACAGTTCAGCTGGGATCCCGTCGTCTCCTGCTGCCTTGTTGTTAGCAATGCTTCTTAAGGCCCATTCAACCTCACTCCTCAGGATGTCTGGTTCTAATTCACTCACCACACCGTCAAAACTATCCTCGATATTATTATCCTTCCTATA